AATAATCCATTAAATCAATAAAATCGATTTTTGCTTGAAAAATAATCCATTAATGAGTAAAAATTAATTTTTGCTTTAGGAATAATCGATTAAATATTAAAAATCGATTTGGTCTTTATGAATAATCGATTTGTTCTTGATAAATGGGTACTGACTTCAAACATCTCGTCTGAGCGAAGTTTTAATCGATTTTTAGGAAGTTAATAATCGATTTTCGGTCACTGTTCAACGTCTTCTTCCTTCGGGCCATTTTCGGAAATACCAATTTTAGTTACCAAACTTTAATTAAACTATATAGAAATGTTCTCCAAGGTTCATAGATCATTTTAGAATCATCAAAACATATTTTTAACATCAAATTCAAGGTTTATGATTCTTGGTTCTTCAAACACGTCGAACACAAAACTCAACAAAATGACCATTTATGAACGTAAAAACAACCTATATGAACATTCTAATCTTTAGATATATCTACGGGCTTACCTCGAAGGTAAATGAAGGTTTTGAAGATTTTTCGTCGAAACTTCCGGCGACGATAGCTCTCAACTTCGGCGACCTCACACCAATACGACAGCACCACTGCGTTCTCCTCACTCCCAGCAACAGAATAGAATGAAACTTTGTAAAAAATGGTGAAGAATGGAGGGTGTTATGGTAGCCTTTTATAGGAGAAGGAAGAGGAAGATGACACAGGTTGATGAGCTCTCCTTCGACTGTTTCGGCGGCTGGGTGGAGCTGGCTGTGATTTCTTCCCATTTCAAACGCAAGTCCCTGATTGGGACTAATTCGGTCCCAGTCGGGGAACACTTTTTGGTCCAACTTTCCCCGAATTGAAATCCGATTGAACAGTTGGAATCAGATAGTTAAACTCTACATAACGATATAATTTTTATTATTTATTGACAAACTTTATAATTCACATATTTTTGGGTCCTTCTCAGTAATTAGTTAATTATCAATTAATTAATTCTGATAGGCCTATTTTCGGGGCGTTACAAAGGGTGTTACATGGTCTCTCTGTTCTTCTCCGTTTCTTTGTGAGTGGAGTGTGGTGAGGTTGGGTTGGGGTGTTGCTCCTTTTGGTACCCTCGTAGTGCACAACTACGGACTGATTTTTACGGATGACCTGAGCTTATTCGAAATAAATAAATACACATAACATCCTTTTCTCACCTAATCCAGACAAAGGGTTAATGCCAAGACAATTTGAGTGAATACAATATTTTAAGTGAAAAAAGATAAATGTGACTTTTCTAAGCCAGTAAATATAGAGAGAAGAAATTTTTAGCTAATAGATCATGAACTGCCGAATTGATGGACATTTATGACACATTTTCTTTTTTAATGTTCATCTAACTTAGACAACATGAAGGCACTGTATAGATTACCAATGGGAGGAGAATTAAGAGAAAGATTTTTGAAGAGGGGTAAGAATCACACCAACTAAAATACTAAATACTCCATCCGTTTTTAAAAATACTTCATCTTTCATTTTTTTCACTTCCAACAAAACACTTCCACTTTTTATTAAAAAACCACTTTTACCCTTACTTTTTCATAACCTACCTATCACATCATACTTTTTCTCTAATAATCTATCCATCACATCTTACTTTTACCCATCACATCAGGGGCAAAATTGGAAGTCAACTATAATTTAACACTTCCTTATTTTTGCTCCAAGTCAAAATAGGAAGTCTTTTTGCAAACGGATGGAGTATATATTTTCTTGATGGTGCTCTAATAACTTCTTAGACTCATTGTCATAATGAATATCTCTTCTTTTCCTATCAAAGATGTTTTCTTTTGATTTTTTTGTTTTTGTTTTTACAGGTGTTCAACTCTTTCGATCTGTATACGATTGAACAACTTGATGAGTTACGAGAGATGTGGACAAACACCTTTCTAGACGAGTTAGTTAATTAGCACTCATTTGGTTCTTGTATGTACTTTGGCCATCATTTTGTTTTTTCTTGTAGTACATGGTATTATAACAATTCATCAAGCCAATATTTAATGCGTTTGAAAATACTCAATAAAATGATGGCATGACAATCCTATCTCATTGTGGTGTGTTCTTCTGGTTTATAGGATCATTAGAGCGTTTTTGGTGGAAGAGCAGAATATTGTGAAGAACGTGCTGAAGATTCAGAAAATCAAAGAAAAGCAGGCTACAAAGAGCTAAAAAAGCTCCCCAAGATCTAAAGCTTTGTTTATGGTGTAGTTTTTGATACGTTGATAAAATGAATCATGACTTTGTGTACTCTGGATTTTGAATTTTGGGACTTGACACTGTTTTGGCTATTTTGACTATTGAGAGATGATGTTTGATTATACTACTATATTCCTCTTCTATGGAAAATTTAATATATTTAGCAAAGGCATCGGTTTTTCCTGAAAAACCGATACTAATACCCTTTTTTGAATATTTTTTAAAAAATTAATATATCAAAGGCATCGGTTGTTTCGGTCGAACCGATGTAAATATACTTTTTTAAAAGTTATACACCAAATGCATAAGTTATTTCTCCGATTCCACACGGCATCATCTCTGACCTTCCAAATGCTCCAGATTGTCCATCACACAACTTGCAAATCTCCAAGCGAGTCCACCTGGGAGCGTGCCTGAAACCAAGAAACAAAATTAACAAAAGAATCACGACCTCCCCCCTTACCCGTCATGCTCCACACGGCTTCTGTAAATGGGCACCTCAAGATGAGATGATCCACTAAATTTCACCTTAAAAGTTATTAATTTATTAAATTTAAATAAATCCCTCAATTTGCCAAAGTAAAGAAAACTTTCATTCATAATGCCTAAATGGACGAATGTATCCTTGAAGTATAATATCATAAATTTTAAGAATCTCAAAATATATTTCAAATAATGTGAGACCTGAAAGTTATTAATAGAAAATTGAGGATACCTTAGAGTAATTTTCTATTTCATTTATTTTGTACTTTGGTAATGGCATATAGGAGAAAGAAGTAATATATTGATCTAAAGAAGAAAATATTCAAATTTCTTCTAAATACTTTGTATAAATGTGCCAAACAGGTAAAAAATTAGGGCGAATAACTGAAAATTTGATTACCATCCGCATCCGTTAATAGCGGTTATTATTCGTATCCGTTTAAGGACTTCCGATTACAAAACAGATACGAATTTGATAATCATACATCAGATCCATTTATAATCTACTCCGCATAGACATCCTTTAAAGTAACCATTTATCCGTATATCCGATCTGTTATATAGTTTTCCCAATTTTTATTTTTATATTTTGTTGATCTATTGACCTCTCAAAGTATAAGACATCTTTATATGAAAACTATATACGTAGACGTAAAAATATATGTAGGCACATAAAAATGGGTGTATACGTATCCTGTATATTTTTTTAGCATATGGAGTTGTCGTAGAATATTATAAAGTAAAAAAACAAGAAAATTATTACTCCCTCCGTCCGAAAATATTCTTCCCATTTGACTTTTTTAGTCAACGTTTGTTAACTTTGACTATGATATGTGGAAAAAATAAATTGTATTTCGATATAACTTTAATATGAATATATTCATTTTGAAATATAGTTTTCAAATATCAAATTATTATAAAATATATCCATACATCAATAAAGATATTAGTGGTCAAAGTACAATCTTGGAGACCATAAAAAAACAAATGGGAAGAACATTTCCGGGCAGAGGGAGTACTTCGTAACAAATTACAATTGAATGAATAAATTATTGACTTTAATTTCAATGGAAATTTTAGTATTGTTTAGTTTGACTTTAAAAACTAGAAAGGGGTATGAATATATCCGATATTCAACCGATATCCAACAGATGCATATACGATTTTGATATTTGGTATGTGTCAAAATTCATATTCAATATCTAATAAAGATAAATGAATATGAATCTAGTAATAGTGCATCCGATCCGATTAATATTCGTTTAGAATAGAAATGAAGGAGGCAAGTAAATCAAGAATTAATTCCCGTTCAGTGACGATAGGGAAAAAGCATTCCCGTTCAGTGCTGTCAGGTGGAAAAAGATTTTAACGGTACTGCTTGTACCGTAAAGTTTAAAAAAAAAAATTAAATCAATTAACGGTACTGCCTGTACCGTTAATCCAAAAAAAAAAGTTTCTATCCAAAACCACCCCTTCCCCTCAATTCGGTACTAGCAGCGGCGCACCTTCCATTTATTGTACTTCTTAGATGACCATCCATTTATCATACTTTAATTTTTTGTATTATTGTATTAATTTGGATGATAAAAACTTTTTATTCTTCTATTAGTTTGGATGATAACATCTTTATTATTGTATTAAATTTGGGTAGATATTAATTTGTATAATTTTCAATATAACACCATTCAATTCACCCAACTAAAAAAATGTATACATTACACTACAAACAAGCTTACACCATTCAATTCACCCAACTAAAAATAATCTCACATTACACTACAAACAATCTTACACCATTCAATTCACCCAACTAAAAAAATCTCACATTACACTACAAAAAATCCTGCACCATACAATTCACCCAACTAAAAAAATATTTCACAATACTCTATAAACAATCCTACACCATTCAATCCACCCAACTAAAAAAAACTCACATTACACTACAAATAATCCTACACCATACAATTCACCCAACAAAAAAATATCTCACATTACACTATAAACAATCCTACACCATTCAATTCATCCAACTAAAAAAAATCTCACATTACACTACAAACAATCCTGCACCATACAATCCACTCAACTTAAAAAATATCTCACAATACACTACAAACAATCCTACACCATTCAATCCACCCAACTAAAAAAAATCTCACATTACACTACAAACAATCCTGCACCATACACTTCACCCAACAAAAAGCATATCTCACATTACACTAGAAACAATCCTACACCATTCAATCCACCCAACTAAAAAAATATCTCATCTATATATTTCTTGCTTAACTCTCACAATCTCTCCACCGAGCTTTACTCTCACATATCTACTCACTTCTCTCACAACCTCTTACCAAAAAATGGCCTCTGATGGTAGTTTTGTCTTCCTAGCCCATTGGAACGGTGAGATAATGATCAAGAACAATGAGGTGGAGTACTCATTGCATTCAAACAAGGCCTTTGTTTTTGATCTTGATATCTCATTCGAGGAGGTCTTCAATGAACTCCTTGATGCTATTGGTGAAGATAATCTCAATTCCATCAAAAACATTTGGGGAAAATATCCCAAATACAAGGATGGAGTTTATGCTGCTTCACGCCCTTTCCCCATTTCCGAGGAACGAACATGGAGGTGTTTCGTTCAAAAGGCAACGAATGAATATGATGAACTTGTGGTTTACCTAGATGCACACGAAGTTGAAGTGTTGGCTAACGAGGAAGAAGAAATGGAGGAAGAGCAAAACCACCAAGCTCATCACCACCAAGTTCATCACCAACACCAAGTTGATGAGGCAGGGCCGTCTAACACAGCACGAGACATGGATGATGAAGATGACTCTGAGGATCTGACGTACGTTGCTAATTCTGATCAAGAGAGCTCTTCAGATGAGTCTGAAGTCTCTGGATGGGTCTCTATGTACACACCGGACGTGTACACAGAGGAGCCTATTAACATTGCTGAACAAGGAATTCCAGAATTTCCGATCCCTAGGCTCATCCAGGCTGCAGAGGTTGCATCTGTTTATATATGTACGACAACTTTTATTTGTATGCTTTTTATTTCAGTAGTAGTGCATCAAATTAATAAAAATTTTATTATTGTTCAAATTTAATGCCAATATCTAACAAAGGGATGTATTTAATTTCGTAATTATAAATAACTAATAGATTAACGGTACTGGCTGTACTGTTAATCTAAAAAAAATAAAATTACGGTACTAGCAGTCCCGTTAATGCTTAAATATGACCACTCTGCGCAATGTCAGCCTCCTCTTCACCATTTGGAAATGGTTTTTCAAAAATCGCTGGGAATTCACCGGTAAATCAATCATTCTGTGGTTTCGGTCGATAATAAATTCATATAGGATTTTGTAGGTAGGTGTTGGGGACATTATTATGGTTGACAAATTGATGGCAATGGGGTAGAAAATTGAAGTCACATGGACGTGCATGCTAGATGTTCAATTCTAAAAAAAGGACAATCGATGAGAGGAAGTAAATTACTCCCTCTGTCTAAAACTTTTTTCTCAGTTTGACTTTTCTCCATTTTTAATTTTTGGCTTTGAATTCAAATTTTATCCTCTTTAAAAAAGATTTTTTGAATTTTTTTTTGCAATCAGTCAAAATATAGAGTTAGAAGATAATTGGTGTAAATACATGAAGGTATTAATGTCATTTGTCATCGTTTTTTCTCTAATGGGAAGGTAGTTTTAGGACGGAGAAAAAGGGGAAGTGGGAAGAAAGTTTTAGAACGGATGGAGTAGTATTTAGTATTTAATCGCAGATTGGTGACAAAGAATAAAGTCTGCACCTGATACTTAAAAAATGAATAAATAAAAAGTATATTCTATTGTTACACTCATGCATTTGTGAATTACCAAGAAAGTCTTAATAGGTAGTCAATATGAACTGAAAGAATCATAATTTAGTAGCATAATTCTATTTTTACCCATCACATCAAAGGACTTTTTTGAAAATTAAATATCAAAATACACTTCCCTTAAATCTCTTAAAAATCAATAACTCCCATGTTTTTAGGACCGGAGAGAGTACTTGTTTTAAGTGAAATTTGCATTGAATAAGACTAAACATAAGTCATTTCCTAGTGTAGAACTTAAACTATTTTATTCCCTAAATAGGACTTAATAATGACTAGTGAGAAGAAATAATGCCCAAGTGATGCTGGACATTTAGTTAAATAATGACTAATAAATAATGACCAATGATCCTACATTGTGAAATAAAAACATAAGGTCCTATATTGAGAAAGTCATTATGTTTTAGTTTTATTTAGGTAAATTACTCAAAGTTAAAAATAATTGATTCTTAAAAGTCATAATTAGACAAATATAGGTAGAATATGATACTCCATATTGTTTATATAATACTACATATCAGAGAACCACATCGGCTCAAATCTTGCAACACTTTGAAACAAAGCATACTGTTTTTCCAACAACTTACACATGATATAAAACTAAACTGGCCGCCCAAGACATACATTTGAACACCATACTCTTCAATCAGATTTTAGTGTTTTGCCAATGTCCAATACGAATCTGTACTTCACGTCTGCTTTGGCCAGGCGTTCCATGGCAGTGTTGACATAGTCCATCGCCACAATCTCAACATCCGGCGTGATGTTATGCTTGGCTGAGAAGTCCAGCATTTCTTGTGTCTCCCTTATTCCTCCAATGCCACTTCCCGCAACTAGTTTCCGGCCTGCGATCAGCCATCACAACATAAACTTTATGTCATTTGGCTCATATTAGACTACCATTAAAGAGTGCCAAGGCAGATATATTTAAGACACATGCATCCTTATATTACTTACCCATGATCAAGGGAAACGCCGGCAAGTCAAAGGGTTTCTCCGGGGCACCAACCAATACAATCTTTCCATTGGTCTTCAACAAGCTTAGTAGTGGCATAAGAGGATGAACCACAGAAACTGTGTCTATTATCCCATCAAGTGTGCTCGCTGCAGCCTTTTTTTACATACATACATACAAAAACCATATCAGCATCCATGTTTGCAAAAGTAATAATAAGGGAAAAAATTAGTCCTAAGAATTACCTATCTAATCAATTACAAATTACCTGCATTTGTTCAGGGTCACGGCTGATCAAGAAGGAATGGGCACCAAAACGTTCGATGGCCTCTTGCTTTTTACCAGCAGAGGTGCTGATGACAGTCACCTTGGACCCGAAAGCCTTGGCGTACTTGACAGCCATATGGCCAAGACCACCCAGGCCCACAACTCCAATGTTCATTCCTGGCTGGTCCAGTCCGAAGTATTTCAATGGGCTGTAAGTTGTGATCCCGGCACACAGCAGGGGAGCTGCCTCCATCGGCAAAGTTTCAGGCCATTTGAGAATGAAGTGCTCGTCTGCCACCATGATGTCAGAGTAACCCCCGTACGTGGTGGTTCCTATAGCATTGTAAGTCTGTACACTCCTGGGACAGTAGTTTTCGAGATTGCTCCCACAGTTTTCGCAATCCCTACAGGATCCGACTATACATCCAACGCCGACTTTGTCTCCCACCTTAAATCTCTCCACCTTGCCCCCGACCTCAGTCACAACCCCAACAATTTCGTGCCTGCAACACGAGATATATGAAACCAATGGAGAGCTGAATCTATAGTTTATACAAACAATCGAAAACTAAAGAGTCGGGATCTTAATTACCCAGGGACAATGGGGTATGTAGTGAAACCCCACTCGTTCTTAAGCTGGTGAAGATCTGAGTGGCAAATCCCACAGTACAAAACCTTGAATTGAACATCCTTCTCCCCCGTTTCCCTGTGCACGGAAACCCATCAATGATATCATATATACACAGAGTACATATTAAAACCACTCCATGGCTAAACAACTAAACCCAAGATGATCATGGGAGTTGAAAAATATGGGAATACCTTCTGGAGAAATTGAAAGGAGAAAGAACTCCGGAGGTGTCCCTAGCGGCCCATCCGAAAGCCTTCACGGGGAGCTCTGTTGCATGCGAATCGGATGCCATTTTTGTAGTGATTTTGAGATTTTTCAGAAGCAGAGAGGAGGGGAATAGATCTGGAATTGGAATTGGATGGTTTATGCACCACCTTCATCGTTTGTATATATTGACAGGGGAATTGGGGGAATGACGTAAGCGCTGATATACTGATAAAAAGTCAATGGACAAACGTGGGCGTTTTCCTCTGGCTCTTGTGAATTCCTTGAGCATGGTATATGTATCTTAAAATTTCTTTCTCATTTCTATAGCAATGGTATGCATAAATATTTTGATGATTAACACTAATACAAAGTGTTGGTGCGTTAATAGAAATTTAACACAAAAAATGAAGTGGAAGAGAAGAAAATGGTATACTTACATTAACAAAAAACCATATCACTACGGTGTACAAAATGGGATATAAATAGCTTTATCCAAAATTTTTAAAGTAAAATTCTATTTGTACCCCACCCACATTTGTATTCTATTTTATATTCAAGGGTTTGCCCTGACATTAAATGTAAGTGCAAAATTAGTATTATGCTAGTGTTGCACTTATATTTTATGTCACGGTAAACCTTTGGGGTACAGAGTAAGATATAAACTGGGGTTAGAGTAGGGACGTAAATGATTCGAATATTTTTTTGTTCAATTCGTGATTCGTATTCGTTTAAGGTGATTCGTATTCGACTTTTTCAAATCCGAATATGAATACAAATCTGAATAAATATTCGAATCCGAATATGAATCAAGGGTATTCGATTCGTGAGTTTGACAAATATATTCGGAATATATAAATCTAATTATACAAATTATATATATATATATATATATATATATCAAATGGTTATAAAATATTTTAAAATCTAAATGAACTGAATAATTTTAAACGAATCGAATATTTAAACGAACCGAATACGAATCTTAAAAAATATTCAAACCGAATTCGAATTCGAATATCACTTCATCTTAACGAATATGAATATTTTTCATGAATATTCGATTCGATTCGGTTCGTTTACAACCCTAGGTTAGAGTAGCACAACCCTTTTATAAACTTTACCACTCCCTTCTTCTTCTTCTTATTTAGTAATAATCTACACATACATCTTACTTTTACTCATCACATCAAAGATATTTTTGGAAAGTCAACACAAAAATATCTTTCCCTTAAACTTCTTAAAAGTCAAAATGGAAACATCTTTACGGGACGTAGAAAATATATAAAATAATTAAATGTATTAAATTTTATTGAAAAAACCTAACCTATTATGAACTCATAAAAGATATGTTAAAAAGATCTAAATTTCACACATACCGTAGATTTTACTCCCTCCGTCTCCCTGTATTTGTCCACTTTCATTTTTACACACCATCCAATGCACTTCTTTAATTCATTTTATCTTGTAATTTTTATATTAAAAAATTATAAAAATTATATATTAATAATCTATATGTTAAGACAAATCAAACGAGATCACACATGACTATATTTAGGCTTACACATTGAGAGAATTTGATGGGTCAAAGTGCTTAGATGAACAGTTCCAAAAGTTAAATGTGGACAAATACAGGGGGACGGAGGGAGTAATATCATTGTAGTACAACTTTTCATGAAATGCTTGTAATTAGTTGTAACTACACCCACTATAATATTAAATGACTAGAATGTTCGTATAGATCATTTCTATGTTCATAAACGGTCGTTTAGTTGAGTTTTGTTGTGTTTGACATGTTTGAAAAACTAAGAATCATAAACCTTGAAATTGTTGTTAAAACTACGAACTAATGATACCAAAATGATCTATGAACCTTGGAAAATATTTCTATATAGTTTAATGGAAGTTTGGTGATTAAAAAAAGTATTTTCGAAAATGGACCTGAGGAAGAAGAAGATGAACAATAACTGTCACGAAACAACATCAGAAGATCGATCCCCCGAACTTTGTGTTCCGAAAATGTTTCCGAAAATATTATTTTTGGTGCTTTAAAATCCTATTTTTGATACCATTCAATTATGATCAATATAAAGATGATTTCTAGAAATAAAAATGACGTTTTTGATGAATAAAATCTTATGTAATGTATGATGGTAAGCTAGGGTGTTAACACTCGACGCTAGGCCGGTATTTGATGATATTATTGATCAATGATTATGATGGTTAAACATTGATGAATATTCTGATTGAATGATTATTATATTGGATAAACCATAATGAAACGTAGTTGATTATTTCTATTAAAATATTGATTATGACAATTAAATGGACCGTGTAATTATGATGATAACGATCTTATTCTGATGAAATAATAAAATGGGAGAAAAACCAAAGTAGGACTAAAACATTGAAAATATATCAAAATAGGACTTCCATATTTTTATTCTCGAAATATGACTTAAAATGCATTTACATTACCAAACATGGTCATATACATTACCAAAAAGTGTAGTAATGTGCACATATACAGTGCCACATTACAACTACATTACCACAGTGTGAAGTCTTATTTCGTGGAAAAAACATGAAAGTCTTATTTCAGTACTTTTCTCAATGATTTAGTCCTATTTATGGTGATTTCTATAATAAAATATGGTATTGAATAAATAAACCGTAAGAATGAAATTGTGAATAGATATGTTTGTTTGATTATCCCGATTTAAATGATGATTATGAATTAATGAACTATGATTCAAAATGAATAGATTGACGAATAAGAAAAATAATGTGTATTCCTAAGGCTATCTAGGGAACTTCTAAGATAGACCTCATATTAGAATCGACTTATGATAATATGTATATTTGGTGATTTGAATAAAAATGTGTAAAAGGGATTCATAGACCAAACTAGAAGATCACTCATTTGGGAATACCCCGATCCGACAATGATTAGTCCCTATTTTGACTACATTTAAGCGTCGGGAAATCAATTATATTGCCTTAAACTAATTATAGTTAACGCGTCAGGAAAGTAATTGCCTTAAACTAATTATAGTTTAAGCATCAGGAAAGTAATTACCTTAAACTAATTATAGTTTAAGCGTTGGGAAATTAATTGCCTTAAACTAACAATAGTTTAAGCGTTAGGTTGTCAATTGCCTTAAACTAATTATAGTTTAAGCGTCGGGTTATTAATTGCCCTCTAAGAGTCTGGTTATGTAAATATAGATTTGGCCTTAGACTAAGAATAGCTAAGAGCATTGTTATGATATTACCTTAGACTAAGAATAGCTAAGAGCGTTATTATCATTAGCCTTAGATTAAGAATAATTTAAGAGCACTGTCGAAATAATGAACTTGGAATATATGAATTAAATAACATATATTGATATGAACTAAACATTATCAAAATCATGAATATGAATATTTGAATTGAACATTATGTGCATGATATCAAATTATTTGATTATGAATTGAGATTCAATTATTTATAAGGATGTTCGATGCATTAGATATCCTTACTCAGCTTTAACGCTGAGCGTGTAGTATGTTTTATTTGCTACACGCAGGAAAACAAAAAGAACGAAGTAATATATTCCTGGCGGTAGATGGGGCGAGACGGTCGCGATAGATTTGTGGATTTAAATTATTATCGTAAAGATATAAAATAATTAATTGTGATTGTCATTAAACATATTTTACATTCGCTTCTGCATTATTAAACAATCCGTACTTCTAGAGTTATATATTGAATAATATTTATGATAAATAAAGATGTTTGAAATATTTAAAATTTTTTACTATTACCAAGTTTATACTTTAGTCCGAAAGGGGCTGCAGACCTGGACGGATTAGGAAGTTACAACGTAGAGTACCTACAAATCTATTCAATGGTGGAATTTTCCAAAAAAAACAAGAGAACAATGTGTGAAAATTATATGGAGTATATTATAAAATAAGTTGAAATAATTTATTTTAGGAGAAATTATCCAGAATAATCCTAACTTTACTCGATCTTTCAAAAATAAGCTTACTTTTCACTATGATGCATAATAATCCTAACTTTACTAAAATTTGTGAGTTTTGGGTCGCCTTTAAGTTGCTAACGGCGGGTTAACGGAAACGGCCTATTTTGGGCAACAAAATGACCTGGAAATTGTGATTATTTTTGATGAATTTTGGTTTTTTAATTTTTTTTGAAATTTTCTTTTAAATGTTTAACATTACTTTCTACCTACATCATTTCTTTGTTTTTTAAAGATTAGTCTTATTTTAAAAAAATAATAAGAGATATAAAAAACAACAAAAACAAGAAAAGTAACTAAAACGATACAAAATTAATAAAATAAATAAGGTAATCAATAGAAACTAACTTGAAACTGGCCAGAAAAAAATAAAAATTGACAGAGTGATGGATTTTAATATTCTACGCACTATACAAAGTATTGATGTACAACTTGTTCTTACTTGTTAGAAAATATTGTCTAGAATAATTCCAACTTTTCCGGCCGGCTTGTTCTTTACAAAAATTATTACTCCGTAGTATATTAGGACTCTGTATAGTGCATAAAATATTAAAACCACCATTCCATATATATTTATTTTACGGAGTATTTTTTACCTGTTTTAGTTTAATTTCTATTAATTGCCTTATATATTTCTTTAATTTTGTATGGTTTTAGTTATTTTTCTAATTTTTGTGATTTTTTATATCAATTTTTTTTAACTTTTTGTAAGGTAAGATTAACCTTTAAAAAAAGAAAAAGAAATGGAGGTAGAAAGTATTTTTTAAAAATTTAAATGAAAATTTCAAAAAAAAAAAACAAAGATTCATAAAAAATAATCTCAACTTTCATTTTGTCACGCAAAACATGCATTTTCGTTAACCTGCCGTTAGTAATTTAACGGCGATCAAAAAATTGCAAATTTTAGTAAAATTGGAATTATTATGCATCACGATGGAAAGTAAAATTATTTTTGAAAGACCATCCCAGGTAAAATTGAGATTATTTGAATAATTTTTTTCTTTATTTTAATGAAATAACTTAAGCTCATATATTATACCATACACGACACAAAGAAAAACTAAAAAAAATAAAGTGATGCTGTAATTAATTTTTACCATAGTACAAAACATATTGTTTATTTTTATCTTCTTTTTTCTATTTTTCTTCCTCTTCCTTTCTTTCCTTCTTTCTTTCTTTCTTTCTTTCTTCTTTTTCTTCCTTTTTTTCTCTCCCATTTCTTTCTTTTTTTCGCGGTGCACTTCTTTTCCTCCCTTGGACTCTCTCTCCGACTCTCCCTCTTTTTTAAGTGAAATTTGTACTTAATAGAACTAAAACATAAGTCATTTCCCAATGAAGGATTTAAACTTTTTTATTTTCTAAATAGGACTTAATAATGACTACTGAGAAGAATAATGATGCTGAACATTTAGTTGAATAATGACTAAAAGATAATGACTAATAAGGGGAAAATAAAAACATATAATCTTATATTGAGAAAGTCATTATGTTTTAGTCTTATTTAGGAAAATTACCCCTTTTTTAATTATTTCCTTCACTTTCTTCTCTTCCACTTCATCATTTGTCAAACATTCCACTGTCGATAAAGATGCTCTAAGCTAAGGTTCCAAAAAAAAAAAACAAATTTTATACGAGACATCAAGAATAATAAACCATACCATATTTCAGTAACAAAGTCCAAAACTACGCTAGTAACCGTAGGATTAATATTTTAAAAAAAAACTATAGGATTATCCTAGCCTAGTTGTATATAAATATCTCGAATACGTGCAAAAAAAAAATGCTAAGGTAAATAATGGGTATACTATATATCTACACCGAACTCACAGGCAACTAAAAATATTAGACGCCTGGCCCTTCCAAACGAACGTAGTCATACATGACTCCTGTGAAACGGTATCCACCTCTTGCCTGTCTTAAATATATTGTGTTTTCTCCGTTCACGAGTTCACTTCCTCGAAACTCAAAACTCGAAAGTGTATACACTCCGTGACTTCCGTGCCGGGCAATGGCATTGTCCCTTCCACTTCCATCCGTCGTGAACCCAACACGTGCACTATGGTTGTTGATCAAAACCTACGAGTGCACCAAAATTAAAATCATTTTTTTGTCATTTGATCTTAAACAAAATAAAGCCTCTGATTGTTTCTTGAATTGATACACTTATATTACTTCCTTCTGCATCAAAATCCAATGAACACAATAATAACAACAATAATAATGATAATACGTACATCAATTCTGTCTAAGTTGGTGGCAGCTAACGCTATACGGAGTGTGTAGGTTCCTGCGGGGTTAACATTCTCCATCGGGAACGAAATGCTCCAGGTTGTTGGTTCGTACGAGTTGTCCCCGACTTTCCTACATGATTGTGTAATCATTGAAGGAAAAAATTATGAGCAATCTTTTTTCTCAATACCCATCTCATGATATGAAGAATGTAGCATAAAAATGTTGTGTTGAAAAAACCCAAAGAAAGTACGCACCTGCTGACATGTGCGAAGAACCAATCCTTTTTATAGTCACTTCTCCCAACTCTGTAAGCCAAATCTTGGGAAGGGTATATATCCGTGTACCGATCCCATAATCCATACTGCCTAAACCTGTTGGTTTTATAAATTAGTTAATTTTAATTTTATTAAACTTAATTTGAATTCAAAATTCTCATTTGTATACACTTCAGTATAAAAGGTGAGCATGGATGTAATGTTACAAGATCATACTTTTCAGTATGATTGAGCAATGCATAGTTCATGAGGTTGGGTGAAGGATCAGGTATAAAGAATTCTGTTGCCTTTCTATCCGGGATGCCGATTTCCCATATGGTTGGGCCATTTCTAGGAGGATGAAACTCAAGTTCACCTAGATTGGTTTCTTCTCCTGGTCTTATTATAATGTCAACTGTGTTTCTATAGTCTCCCAAGATTCCAGGGACCCAACCATACAAGTTATAATTTCCAGGTCGTATTGCACTGATTCGGAAATATCCATTGTCATCTGTTTGTGTCCAAAATTGATAGCCCTAGACAACAAATATATATATATTTTAGCTATGTCAACATATCTACAAGAACCAAAGGGGAAAAAATGGCGTTATTTAAGTAAATAAAGTGATAAAACAGTGAGGAATAAAAAGAATGCATGTAAATGATAAGAGTTGTTTTTCTAAACCTTGGCATCTTTTTGCCAATATCCATCCGCACCCGGTGAAGCGAGACCGACATATGCAGATTTTGCCGGGATAAGCTCCTCGTTTAGATACCTAAAAATGAACATACATAGATATCAAGAAACCAATTAACTCAACCAAAACTACTCAAACTCATATGCTTGGATTAATCCATACAAATTTAATTTAAAAAAAATCACCTGTCACGTACTAGCAGTCGACCTGTGATTGTTCCCCGTTGACTAGCACTTGGATAGTCTTCTGACTTGGGAAAGTCGTAAGGCCAGCTTTTAGTTTCTACAGCCATCTGTTGAGGATTAATGACAAAAGTTGTCATTAGTAATATTTTTTTGAACAATTATCCAATAAAATGGTGAGTTTCATAAACTTAGAAGTATAATATGGTAATCACACACACACTACGGAAAGGCCAGAGAGTCTGCATTTCTGCTTGGTGCAGTCAAGAGATTGTCCATATTTGGTTTTGCATAAAGGCAGAAAAACGAGGGAAGGAAAAAAATTATGTTTAGATTCTTGCCAACGGTCCATAATCTTCTTCAACTATCAGTCTCAAAGTTAACATCCGAGTGCTAAATATCAAGAGTATATATGTCAACCATGCTAGTGCTGATAATTTGAGGTAATGTCATTAGTAGAGGCTATCATTAAGCTTTCTGAGAAGCGAAAACAAACACCAGAAAAGAGCCACAATCACTTGCCTGATTCTTTTAAGGCCAGAGGTAACTTTCTTTGAATGATCACTACAGAGTAAAATTCCAAGTATGGATTCAGGGGGGCTACAAAGTGCTTGAATACATAGTCAGCAGTGAACAAGAAATGTAATGAGACCCAAATGTGAAAACAATATCCAAACTGTGGTAACTAGCAGATCAACAAAAAATCAAAGGCCTTAGTAGTATGAACTGGTAGTAGTATGAACTGGAAGTGCCGTAGTTCAAGCCCAAAATGTTGGGTTTGTGGAGGCTTGGGCTTGACTTTTTGCCTGGCCCATGTTACGAAACTCTAGATGCACTCTTCCTATATATATTGCATACTTGTACTTGTAATCGACACCACAAGTGAAATAAGAAAACCCTCCTGTTGCTTAAATTCTTGTGTGTCGTTTGTGTTCCTTTTCTCTCATTTTTCGCAGATTATTTGTGTGTTGTGTGTTTAATTCCCAACAAGCGGTACCGGAGCGAGGTTCTACAACACGAGAACACGAATAGCTAGAAGCTGTCACCTAGGGTTCTTGGAGTAAGAACCGTGTGCCATCTGAGAAGAGGAAGGAGCGTCCGTCCGTTTCGTTCGGATCTGTGATAGCCACTGCTAGGATCTGAACAGTCGCCGCTGTGAGGGCCGCGCCGGAGTGAGTTGCGCAGCAGGGGAGAGAGCCGCAGCCTTGGGGTTGCCTCACTGCCGCCGTCGCACAGCCTTGGTCTCCCGCCGACCGCCGCAGGCGCTGGGTAGGGCTTCGCGAGTAGCAGGCCGCGCCTCCCAGTACCCACCTTCCGAATCGCCGCCGCTGTCCTGAGATCCACGCCGCTGGTTCGAGGAGAATCGCCACCATCCGCGTGCAGTCAAGTCGCGTTGGGAATCCTGAACCTCCGCCGTCCTCAGTCGCGCTACTGGGTCGAGGAGGTCGCCGCCGCCGTCCTGTTTTGCCTTCGCCGGGAAAAAAACAAAAGTAAAGGGGGCTGATTTTTCTTGCTTTGCAGGTTCGGCAAAAAGAAAAAAAGGTTTTTTGCTGGATTGAAGAAGAGAAAAAAACAGTTGGGCCGTGTGATTTTTGTTTTGGGCTGGCTATTTGGTTTGGACTGGTCTTATTAGTGGGCTGTGGATTTGGCCTGATTTTCTGACGAAAAAAATACCAAGATCTGAAATTAGTTGTACCGGGTATCTCGTCTAGTCGTTTGAGATGGCAGAAGACGGGAAGTTCCGAAATGAAAAGTTCGATGGTACAGATTTCAGTTGGTGGAAAATGCAAATTGAAGATTTACTGGTTCAGAAAGATTTGGACGTGGTATTGGGTGACAAACCAAAACAGATGTCAGATGCAGATTGGGCTGGTTTGGATCAGAAAGCTATGTCCGTGATCCGTCTTTCGTTGACCAAGAATGTTGCGTTCAACATTCTAAAGGAGAAGACAGCAAAGGGAATTATGCAAGCGTTGTCTAACATGTACGAGAAGCCATCTGCAGCGAACAAAGTTTTTCTGATCAGAGAGTTGGTGAACACAAAGATGAAAGAAGGCACTTCAGTTACCGAGCATATCAACAAGTTGAATTCGATCTTAGCCAGACTTTTGACTTTTGTCAGTGGACATTAAGTTCGATGATGAAGTTCAAGCTTTACTACTGCTATCGTCTTTACCTGATAGTTGGTCCGGAACGGTTACAGCGGTTACCGGTTCAGTGGGACCTGATGGATTCACCTTTGATCAGATTCGAGATCTCGTTCTTGGCGAGGATGTCAGAAGAAAGAGTTCAGGGGAGTCATCTGGTGAATTGCTTCATGTTGGTAGAGGCAGAAGGAATAGCAGAGGTAGTGGGAGCAGGAACAAACAACGGAGTCGGTCGAAGACTCGTGACAGCTCAGGTGTAACGTGCTGGAACTGAAAGGAGGTGGGACATTTTAGGAATCAATGCCCGAATGACAAGTTAACATTGCTGAAGGCTCTGCGAGTGACGAGGAAGTCACTCTGACTTGCTGTGAGGAAAGGTACGACTAGCGGACGACAGAGCTCTTGATGTGACGGGCATGGGTGACATAGTGCTGAAGACCCCAGTCAGTTTCTGGACTTTGAAGGATGTCAAAGTTGTTCCAGCCTTGAAGAAAAGTTTGATTTCTGTCAGGCAGTTGGACGAACAGGGACATGAGGTGAAGTTCAGAGATGGGCAGTGGAAGGTCGTGAAGAGAAATCTTATCATGGCCCGTGGAAATAAGAGAGGTTCGTTGTATATGGTCGAGTTACCATCTGAGGGAGTGACCGTCCCATTTCAGAAGAGAAACAAAGTCCGGTTCACAGAGTCTCATGGGCAGAATAAGGTTGTCTGTGCAAGAGAGAAACCTAGAGCCACTAGTCAGACTCAGGATGAATGAGCGTGAAAAGGTTCAAGGGGGGCAGTCAGAGGTATTTGTGGCAGTGGGAGCTCAAGAGGCGCTTCAGCCAAGTTGCCTAGAAGACAGTGGGTCAGAAGAACCAGTATTCCAGCTGTTGGAACATCTCCAGAAAATTTCTTGCTGAGTACGGAGAGTGTTTGCTCTCAGCATGTTCCAGGATATGGCAGTGTGCATATGCAGTGGGAGCCGATAGGGCAGATTTTGCCGTGACTGATGTGTTGGAGCTTGGGAGAGCTTCAACGGGCCTTTCAGTTGTCTGATGATAGGGCCGCTGCAACAGGAGAGCTGAGGAAGATTACTCGATGTACAGGGAATCGTGGTGGATGACAGTTGATGACTATCAAGCCTCCAAGTGGGAGAATGTTGGGTTTGTGGAGGCTTGTGCTTGACTTTTGGCCCGACCCATGTTACAAAACCCTAGATGCACTCTTCCTATATATATTGCATACTTGTACTTGTAATCGACGCCACAGTGAAATAAGAAAATCCTCCTGTTGCAACCGTGGATTAGGGAAACCGAACCACGTTAAATTCTTGTGTGTCGTTTGTGTTTCGTTTTCTCTCGTTTCTCGCAGATTATTTGTGTGTGTGTTGTGTGTTTAATTCCCAACACAAAAAGCTGAACTTAAAAAATAATCATCCTCACTGAACAAAGCACAATCAACTAACTAAACACAGCGAATTAAACAGTGGAAACCGTAAACAAAGATTATCAACACAGCATCACTGGATAGGCGAGACACAGAGAATGCTCACTTAGAACAAGCTTTTCCCATAGGTTAGTTGAGCTCTAAGGTCTTCCCATCTCCTTGAGTTCCCTCAGGTAGAAAGAAAGATGCATGTCTTCCCATCTTGGTGATGTTCACAGAGCTCGAGGAAATTTCGAATTCTAGTAGACTGGAAGTTAAGGGAAATTGTTCTGTTTTGTTCTCTCCTATGCTCAGGACGCAGATGCCTCTTAGAAGTGAAAAACAGTAGGTAGTCTAAGATCCAGGCACAAGAGTCCAATCCAAACCAAATATCGAAAAGTTTTTTTCCTATGAAATTCAGTGATACAGAATTTCCTATTGAATTCAGTGATAGTGAAGACAAAAATCTTACCCTCAATCTTATACTTGAAGTTGCAATTATTGGTTTCTAGATAAACCCTCCTCGTGGAAGGAACAGAGCTAGGTGCATGTTGTTCGAAGACCATAGCCTCTGTGATGACATATGTATTGGATTGAGGTTGTGCCAAGACTGTCAGGGAAGGTTCTGGTTCGTGAGAGGCGCTTCCATGGAGGCCTGCCTGTAGATTTTGGGATTGGCATTCCCCTGGGGGGGTTCTTCAAGGAGGCTGTTTTTTGGCTGAAGATGTGTGGAGGAGGGTCGATCGTAGATAGGTCTGGGATCGGAAGGCGAGCTGGGTTTAGAGAAGCTCCAGCTTCTCTCTGAAATTATAATCCATCTCGCCATATTTTGATTACTCCCTGTGTTCTATAATGTTCATGTTTATGCTTATGAAATTTTGATCGATTTTATTTTCAATTAAATTTATTTGATTGTATGTGTAAAATTAAAAAATAGAATTTATATATTTAAAAACTACTTCAAAAATTCGACAAAACAAGTAGTGACAAGACTATATTATTTTACCAAATACTCTGTACCTATTAAAATAGGTAAAGAAAGTGATTAAAGTTTGACCGTATGAAAAATAACTGGGAAGAACATTTAAGGACGGAGGAGTATGATTTTTTCACACCTCTCAATAATTTTTGTACTTTCATTGATTATTTGATAAATTTAGATATTTTTTTCACATCTTATTTTGTAGAAACTTTGACGTAATTTTTTAATATGTAATTTCTATTTGTTATTGATGTAATAATTTGTAAATACAATAATTTCAAAAGATACGGTGTTTTACCTCGTAAATCTGAATTTGCAATCAAATTTGAGACGGAGGGAGTATATATATATATATGTATGTATGTATGTATGTATGTATGTATGTATGTATGTATATGTGTGTGTGTGTGTATTTCTAATTATTAAATTAACTATGGAGTACCTGTTTTTTAGCATCTTCCCAAAGGGGTTTTGGGTCACTGCCGTTGTCAGAATTGAGATAAATAAAAACTGGTCCAAAGACCTTTTTCCAAGCTTCGCCATTTCGCAAACTAACACCATAGTTGTAGCCAGCATAATGACCGCTAAAAAACATCTGAAGGTGTACAAGTAAAACTCAAACTTAAGCTTATGATTCAAGACTCAAATTTTTTTAAAAATCAATAGTCGCCGTGGTGCTTATAAGTAGCTATTAATTTCATACCGATAAGGCAGTTGGGCCAACATGAGAGGTGAGATCTTGTCTTATTGGCCCTCCAGATCGAAACTCATCCGCCCCAGTGATGATCCAAAATCCAACATGTGGGTTTGGAGAAATCCATCCATGCACTTTAATATCCTTATTTTCTAACGAGTATTGGTATTTATCATCTACCTATATATAAATATCGATGTGGCATTAAAAACCTTAAATCAAGAGTCTTGCAACTTTTAAAATGTGTAGGTAATAATTACTCCTAAATGGTATATATATTTGTATTACCTCTCCCTTCATAGTAGGATTAGATGGGTTGGTTAATAAAACTGCCTCTTTATAGTCGAGGGTCTTTCCTATAGAACGATCATTGTCACTGGGCATTTCTCTTTGTATGTCATCCGATATAGCCATATAGTTGAATCTTGTGTAAATGAAACAATATATATATCAAGCAAATGCGATCAGAAGTGTAATAGAATTAAAAGGTTAACTTTATCATTTCAAACGTATAATATAACTTACAATCTTCTTTGCAGCTTGATAGCAACTCGAGTTTGGCCAATGTCTACATCAGGCCATCCTTGAAGATGTTCATAGATTGCGTACGTGTAGAAGCCAGACTGGCCAGGTAACATTACATATCTTTTATCTACATTTAGAGGAACTGTACTGGAAGAATCTTTGGGATCATAACTTTTTGTGAATGAGATCTCTATTTGGTTTTGGTCTGATGTGATTACTCTAAAATGTGTTGCTGGAAGCCTTCGTTATGGCAAAGGTTAAATTAGAGATATACTCCGTATAAAATAAGAGTGTTACTAAATCAACCAGTATTTTGGCTAAATCCATCCCATTTATGAGAAGTTGACAATTTTACTCTTAAAAATATAAAAGAGAAAGTTAAGATGCAAAGCAACTTTTAAGAGTAAAATTATCAATTTGTCATAACTTTGATGGATTTAGTCAAAATGAGAGTGGATATAGGAACACACATAAAATAAAAAAAACTTACATCTCAAAGTGACCACTATTGTCTTTCCCTGGGTTGTTCCAAACAATATCCCAATACCTATATACGTAAAAATTTCATTAACGTTAGACAATAAAAAAAATGTCTTAGCTTCTTATTCTTCAACAATTATTTTTGGTCACGAGTTTGAATATTAGAGACCCTCGTGATGAGTTAAGAAGCATGGTAGAATATTAAAAAGTGAAATTTATAGTGAATAAGATTAAAACATAAGTCATTTATCAATGTGGGACTTAAACTTTTTATTCCATAAATATGACTTAATAATGACGAGTGAGAAGAATAATGTCCTAGTAATGTTGGACATTTAGTTGAATAATGACTAATAGATAATGACCAATGGTTCTACATTGGAAAATAAAAACATAAAGTCCTATATTGAGAAAGTCATTATGTTTTAGGCCTATTTACGTAAATTACCCTATTAAAAAAGGTTCCAATCCAAAATTTAACTATAGTGTACGTGTGTGTATGTCTACAATATGGAGTCCAATTTGTTGGCATATTTTTACTAGGTTGTAAATAATACATTATGGTTAACAATACCCTCTATTTGTTTCTTTGAAACCATATTCGAGCACATTATCAATTCCTTGGTACCGAATCTCGGCAATTCCTCCCGTCGGGTTCGAGAGTGTCACTGTGATAAAACCATTGTCCATCACCACCTGAATATAAAGCATAATTGTAGTTTAATTTTAGACCTTAGAATCAGCTTTGGAATTATGAAAGTACTTCTTTTACTAATAACTATGAACAAGTATATATCAGTTTACATGTGTATCTGTAATGGTAAGTCTCAAGGGATTAGATGCTTGTAAGTCTTGAGTGTTATTTGCTGGAATGGACCTGCAATTTAAAATGGTACGTGATACTATATATCATCAATCCATAATTAATCGAACTCATCAACTCATTCACTTGAGATCTATGCTTCCGATCGAGATTTGCCCATTAAATTATCAAATTGAATAAAAAAAGTCGTTTTAGTAATAGAGTACTAAAATTTCTATCATAAGAGATGGGAATACCTTTAGCAAAAGAGTATATATTGGACAAAAATTGTAACATAGCCATAAAATAATGTTACATATATAGGCTATTTCAATTACATAGCCATAAAATAATGTTACATACTCCCTCCGTTCTTAAAAACACTTCCTCTTTCATTTTTTTCACTTCCAACAAAACACTTCCACTTTCTATTAAAAAACTACTTTTACCCTTACTTTTTCATACCCTACCTATCACATCATACTTTTTCTCTAATAATCTACTCATCACATCTTACTTTTACCCATCACATCAAGGGCAAAATTGGAAGTCAACTACAATTTAACAATTCCTTATTTTTCCACTTTTTCAAAATAGGAACTCTTTTTGAGAACGGATGGAGTATAAAATACTCTAAAAATGAAAAAGTAGCTATTCAGTGCGCGAATAAGGTTCCTTTTCTAGACATCTAAAAAAAATTAATAGTAATTGGGATTTTAAAAAAGGTTATTTATTCAATTTTAAAAATAAAATGAGAACTTCTTTCACAAATGTTTGGTGCTGGTCCAAAAATATGTTTTTTCTTGATTGAACAGATTTAAAAATGTCAAGAGACAGATGCAGTATATGTTAATATTTTCTCTTCCTTGTTTTTTTCTTTTTCTATGCCTCATTAAAACTTTTTATTGGAGACAGATGCAGTATATGTTAATATTTTCTATTTTAACTATTTTTTATTTCAAATGCAAACAATTTAGAATTTTCAAAACCTTATGAAAAAAATTAAAAAGAGAAACTAAAGACATATATACTGAGAACGAAACAAAGATAAAAAGGAAATAACGTAAAAATGAATGAAAAATAAGAAATGAGCTCCGATGCCACGTGACTTGAAAAATAAACACCAATGTCTCTCTTTTCACGAAAATTATTTGAAATGTTTAGAGAAGTTTATGTGCAATGTTTTGAATATAAATGAATTGCAGAGTATTACTCTAGGGTACCCTCGAATTTCTAATAATGACTTTCAGGTCTCATATTATCTAAAATATGCTCTGGGGTACCCTCAATTTTTTGGTAAAAACACTCAGGTCTCACATTATCGAAAATATACTTCGAGGTGTTGGGATTAAAAATTACTTTACTTTGAAAACTGAAGGATTTTATTTGAATTTAATAAAATATTGATTATGAAAGTAAAATTTAGTATTTGTCAAAGTACAAATTTTTTTAATCCTAACGGTCAAATAGACTGAATGTACCGAAGAAGTACATAACCACTGATTTTAAGGACACCTGTAGTATATTTCAAATAATATGAGACCTGAACGTTCTTACCAGAAAATTGAGGATACACCGGAACATATATTAGATAATGTGAAACCTTGAAGTCATTATCAGAAAATCAAAAGTTCACTAGAATAATTTTCTACATGAATTTTATATATAAGTTTTGAAAACAGGAGACATTGATATTTGCTGATAAACCGCAGGAGGAGTGCTGGAGCTTTAGGCCATTTTTTATAAGTTATATATAATTTTTATTTTTTAATTTTATAGTAATTCATTTTTAAGTAAAGTAAATTTAAAACCATTTTACTTAAGGAAACGAAGGAAATTATTAATTACAAGCCCCCTCTTAAAAGTTAAGTTTTGGCTTGATCATCATCCAAATCAAACACATTATTAAACTCCCTCTTTAATTTACGTGCAAAGCTAAGGTTTGAAACAAGAAAAAAGGCAATAAGAATATTTTGCTTATATACGGAGTTGAGTACAAGTATAATTAATAACTAACCACATAGCGTTACAGATTACCGTTAGCGTTTTGGATAAAATTTCAATGGTGTAGATTATTTTTAAAAAACGTTAATGCTAAACATTACCCAGAAATAACTTTTTCAAAACGCTAACGCTAATCTTTTTCAAAACGCTAACGCTAAACGTTAAGAGTATATACTTTTCAAGATTATGAGAGGGAGAAAATTTATACGTAGTACCTTATTGCATGAACGACCGAAGAAGAAAAGAGCAATAAGAATGGCAGAACAATAAAAACCGGCCGCCGTATAATATTTGATCCTGACTTCGCCATCTCTCTCGAACAGCAATAAATTCAATTCCACAGCAATTATTTACCACCTGAGTAAAATAATTAAACTTCTCATATTGCATATATACAACATACGGTATTAATTAATTATATTCATACAAGAATTAATTAGAACATGAACTAGCTAGGGAGTAGGGCACATGCCTGGAATTGAATATTGATGCCCGGAGAAATTAAATAATAATAATGGGTTATTACTTATAGGTTTACACTCCTAATCCATGCAGGATGTATGTATTTAACTCAGAGGGATTAATTAATATAACAGTCCTAATTGCATATTTACTCAAACTCTGTTATATTACCTATATATACTCCCTCCGTCCATAAATAAAGTTCCATTTTTGACTTTTTGAGGATTTAACTGAGGGATATTTTGTTGTTGACTTTCCAAAAAAGTATGATGTGATAGGTAGGGTATGAAAAAGTAAGGGGTAAAAGGAGTTTTTTAAGGGAACAGAGAAGTTTATTTAGGGACAAAGAAAAAACGAAAGAGGAACTTTATTTAGGGACGGAGTGAGTATATAACAGTCCTAATTGCATATATATATATATATATATATATATATATATATATATATATATATATATATATATATATATATATATGATTATTATTATTATTATTCCGCTTCCCCACACAAAATTAAACAAGAATACCTATTATATTACACCGTAGTTGATATTTTCGTGGCCGGCCGGATGGACACTTTATTTTGAGTTTTTACCTGTGTTTTTGCTTTCTTCCGGCAGCTAATAATAATAATAATAATAATAATAATAATAATAATAATAATAATAATAAAAAAAAATTTTTATTTTGAAATTTTTTTAATAAAACAATAATTTTGTTACTTAAATGTACTATTAATATTAATTACTTCCTCCGCCCCAAATTAATTTTCTGGATTGAATTTGGTACAAAAGTTAATAGAAGTAAAATTATTTGGTTGAAAGTAATCTACACAATAAAGAGGAAAGAAAGATATTGAGCTACAAAACGCTTTCAAAAAAGTTATGAAACTTTTTTGGGACGTTTCAAGAAGGAATACCGAGAGATTAATTTGAAACGGAGAAAGTACATGTTATTGATAATAACAACTACTACTACTACAGTTACTTATAATACCACATCTATTATAAACTTTTTATTTGCTTTCATTTTTAGTCTTTTAAATAAGAGTGATGTTTATATGGTCTCATAGTCCATATTTAAAATGTAGACTTTCCCATACTTTTCATGGTTTTGCATGATGATATCTTATACTTTCTCCATTCCACAAAACTCTCCCTCTTTCGTTTTTTTTGCTTTCCACAAAACACTTCCACTTTCTATTAAAAAACCACTTTTACCCCCACTTTTTCATATCCTTACCTATCACATCATACTTTTTCTCTAATAACCAAACTATCACATCTTACTTTTTTCCATCACATCAGGGGCAAAATTGGAAAGTCGACCAAAATTACACTTTCCTTATTTTTCCTTAAAGTCAAAACCGGAAGGGTTTTGTGGAACGGAGGGAGTATTTAGAAAAAGGCACACTTCTTTTATGCTATAAATGTACTAATGTCCATATCATGATAAGCATGAACTTTAAGACCACAGAAAAATTTGCTTTCA